AATGGGCGGGTGTCAGGGTCGGGACGGTACCCGCCACCACGGGTCCGCCGCAGACGCGTAGTGATAGAGCACGCCCAGCGCGGGCGGGTCAGCAACCCCGGGGGCCTAACGACGCTCATGTCGTTAAGTGACCAGCGGTCATTTTTATTTTGACCGCCTGGTCACGCGTGCTGCTCCGGTGCGCCCGATTATATAGAGCCTCACACCCCTCGGCCTCCAGCTACACTGCCAATAAGCACCACGTGAGGAGGAGGATCTTCCAGCCTGCTGCGGAGAGTCGGTCGCATCCTTACGAAATATAACCGCACCACTACAACCAAGGGACGGTAGTAAAGGTGGCATATAAAAGGGGAAGAGTAGTCGTGGTGCAGGTACTGCTGCTCGGTGTGGGGCGAGGCAGTGTTCGGAAGGAGGGAGAGAGGTGGAGGGAGAGAGGGGTAGGCGAGGGGAGTGGAGGGAGGGAGGGGAGGTAGGGAGAACGAATCATGGCGGGGTAATATAAACGTTTCAACAAATGGGAGTCCCCCCGCAACAAAAGCGAATAACATGGTAAAGGGCATTAAGGCTTAATTGAACAAAAACTTTGGGGCGCAGCGGCCACCCCCTTCTTCTCTCTTTCCTCCCGCTCACCGGGCGCGAGGCTCTCTCTCTCTCTCTCTCTCTCTCTCTCTCTCTCTCTCTCTCTCTCTCTCTCTCTCTCCAGCGGTGCGGTGCCTATTGGCCACCAGATCAGGCGGCGGCGGCGGCGCCTCTTAATTGGCTGTGTTGTTCTAAAGAGAGGCAGACGAGTCATATCGTAATTGGTGCACACGATGCTATCGGGCCTATTTACGCACCGACTCGCATACTCACTCGCACCGCGCCTGGCAGGCCGCGCCCCAGCCGGCTACACGTAAAAAATATCAGCCATATAGCAAAACAATAGCAAACTAAGAAAAACTAATTCTTTAATGTGGCTAAAGTTAGGCTATGTGTCGCAAAAGATTGGCTATCTTGATAAAAATTTAGGAGTGTATACACTAAGGTATATATCTGAATTTTAGCAATTTTTTAGGCTAACATAGCTAAACGTTCTGATATTTTTTTATTTTTTTTTATTTTGGGGTGTACGCTCGCGAAGCCACATCTCTCCGGTCCGCCCGTCCGTCACATCAGTAGGGGCGCGCTCGGACGGGATTCCCAATGCGCACAAAACCCCTCCGCCGCCCCCTCCCCTTTACGGGCGAACCGCCCCGGCCCCGGAAGGGGACAGACCAGACGGGCCCCGCCGGGCCAAATTTAGACCTCGCGCGGCGACCTTTCCCTGGTAATGAGCGGTGAGCTTCCAAACTGCGCGCGCGGCCGAGAAATGAGAAAACCATTAAGACAAAAAAAGTAATAATAATACTAGAAAAACAGAAAAACAACACCGCGACAAAAAGAAATGTGCAGAGCACTCACGAGGTGCCGCTGGTTCGGGGGGAACCGGTGTGCGGCCGCTGCTAGAGGGCAGATACCATGGAGGGAAATCGAAAGCAACGTTCAAGTTGGCAGCAGTGAGCCGAGCCGGGCCGAGCCGGGCCGAGCCGGGCCGAGCCGGGCCGAGCCGGGCCGGTCAGTGGGTCAGGCAGAGGGGCCTAGGCAGGCAAGACCAAAGCCGAGCCGGGCCGAGCCGAGCCGACTACTCGGGCGTGACGTCGAATTAGCATGAGGAGATGGCATCTGGAAATAGAGAGCAGCCGTGCGGGAAAGGCTGGCTGTGGCCCGGCTCGAAAACGCGCCCCAAATCGGGGTATAGAAATCAAAAGGTGGCATAGCAGGGCCGGGCGGGGCGTCCCGCTGAAGGCAGTCATGGGATGGGCGCCATGGGCGGGGGCCCGACCCGACCTCCACCTGCCGATAGAGGTAGGGAGATGGAGAAGCAGCAATGGGAATAAGCCGCTCGCTTCTCCCTCCATAGAGTCGCGCTCGCCGCCCTGCTGCTGCTCCCGCCGACTCCAAAGCAGCTGCGGTGTGGTCCCTTCGATATGAAACCCGTGCTCAGGACAATATCGCAGGCAAAGACCGCAATCCATTAACGTATAGAACCGTTTCAACTGAAGTATCGATACGTTACGTTCCTGCTCTGCACACACCGTCAAAAAAGCGTGCTCTTGAATTAAGTGAATGTGCCCGGCTAGACCGAGAACACTGGCTTGTCCCGTCCTCGATGCAAATTGCATTGCTGCAAATGAAAATTGCAAATGGCCCGAAACAAATTTTCTTGCGAAGTCAAGGGTCAAGAGACACGCTTTTCTGGGTGCATGAAGCAAGACACACGTCGAGGGGCGAGCAAAGAATAAAAAATCAAATGTCTTCCAAAGATTACTATGGCAAGACGCTCTTGCAAATGTTTTTGTGTCACTGTCGTGCCTCCGCGACAGGCACTCTCCGCGGCCAGAAAGCTGCTCGCCGGCAGTGTGGAGTGCGGCGGGTGCGTGGAGCGCCAGGGTGGAGCCACGCAACGCATCCCAATGTGACGCTGCTGCTGCGGGCCGCGAGCATCGCGCCGTAAATCTCCGCGTGTGTCGCCCGCGTCGCGGGTGCGCCCGCGCGCGCGGTACACTTTTAGTATAGTCGAGTTCTACTGGTAGAAGTATGGAATGGGGCTCGGCTACAAGCAACAACTACTACTCGTCGCGATGTCGTACACAGAATAATGGGAATTATAACACGAATGTTATTATTTTCATAGTCCGCTGGAGCGTCGCTCGCTGGTCGGGTGCATTGAGACTTGTGGGCGAGCAGTGGAGCGACGCGACACC